ATGGTCATCATCACCACCATCCTCATCCTCACCATGGTTGGTCATGGTCATCATCATCATCACCATCCTCATCCTCACCATGGTTGGTCATGGTCATCATCACCATCACCATCCTCATCCTCACCATGGTTGGTCATGGTCATCACCACCATCCTCATCCTCACCATGGTTGCCCATTGTTGGTCATTGTCACCATCACCATCGTTGGTCATCGTCACCGTGGCCATCGTTGGTCATCGTTGTCCATCCTCATCCTCACCATGGTTGGTCATGGTCATCTTTGGCCATGGTCATCACCATCCTCATCCTCCTCACCATGGTTGCCCTTCGTTGGTCATCATCATCTTCACCATCATCGGTCACTGTCATTGTTGGTCATCATCACCGTCACCACCGTTGGTCACCGTGGGCCATCCTCATCCTCACCATGGTTGGTCATGGTCATCATCACCATCCTCATCCTCACCATGGTTGGTCATGGTCATCATCACCATCACCATCCTCATCCTCACCATGGTTGGTCATGGTCATCACCACCATCCTCATCCTCACCATGGCTGGTCATGGTCATCACCACCATCCTCATCCTCACCATGGCTGGTCATGGTCATCACCACCATCCTCATCCTCACCATGGTTGGTCATGGTCATCATCACCACCATCCTCATCCTCACCATGGTTGGTCATGGTCATCATCACCATCACCATCCTCATCCTCACCATGGTTGGTCATGGTCATCACCACCATCCTCATCCTCACCATGGCTGGTCATGGTCATCACCACCATCCTCATCCTCACCATGGCTGGTCATGGTCATCACCACCATCCTCATCCTCACCATGGTTGGTCATGGTCATCATCACCACCATCCTCATCCTCACCATGGCTGGTCATGGTCATCCTCCCGCCGCCATCGTTGGCCATCCTCATCCTCACCATGGTTGGTCATCGTCACCGCCGCCATCGTTGGCCATCCTCATCGTCACCGTCGCCGTCACCACCGCGGCCGCCGCCCTCCCGGAGCCGGGAACGCCGGGAGCGCCAGGAGCCGGCTCCGGCCGCCCCGACATTCCCAAAAATCCGCGGGAATTCCCGGTTTTCCTGTCCCGGGGCCGAGCGGGAGGAGGACCCGGAATAACGGAGGAGCCGCGGGATCGGGATCTGGAGTTCGGGGTGGGGAATTCCATGGATTTCTGTGGATTCCCGAGGATTTCCGTGGAATTCCATGGATTTCTGTGGATTCCCGAGGATTTCCGTGGAATTCCATGGATTTCTGTGGATTCCCGAGGATTCCCGTGGAATTCCATGGATTTCTGTGGATTCCCGAGGATTCCTGTGGAATTCCATGGATTTCTGTGGATTCCCGAGGATTCCCGTGGAATTCCATGGATTTCTGTGGATTCCCGAGGATTCCCGTGGATTCTGGTGACTTTCCCTGGATTTCTGCGGATTCCCGAGGATTTCCACGGATTCTTGAGGGTTTCCATGAATTTCCTGTGGATTCCTGAGGATTTCCATGGATTTTCGGGAATTTCCATGGATTCTTGGGGATTCCTGAGGATTCCTACAAATTCCCATGGATTCCTGAGGATTTCCTGGGGATTCCTGAGCATTTCCAAAGATTCCCACGAATTCCTGAAGATTTCCGTGGATTCCCAAGTATTCCCATGAATTCCCACGGATTCCAGAAAATTCCCACAAATTTCTGAGGATTCCCACAAATTCTCATGGATTTCCACGAATTCCTGAAAATTCCCCCGGATTCCCGACGATTCCCAAGAATTCCCATGGACTCCTCAGGATCCCCACAAATCCCTCAGGATTCCCACACATTCCCAAAAATTCCTGAGGATTCCCACGAATTCCTGAGGATTCCAAAGAATTCCCATGGATTTCCATGAATTCCCAGGGATTCCCACAAATTCTCACAGATTCCCATGAATTCCTGAGGATTCCCCACAAATTCTCATGGATTCCCCACAAATCCCTCAGGATTCCCACGAATTCCCAAAAATTCCCGAGGATTCCCATGGATTCCTGAGGACTCCCCACAAATTCCTGAGGATTCCCACGAATTCCTGAGGATTCCCCACAAATCCCTCAGGATTCCCCACAAATCCCCACAAATCCCTCAGGATTCCCACGAATTCCCGAAAATTCCCATGGATTCCCACGAATTCTCATGGATTCCCACAAATCCCTCAGGATTCCCCGCGAATTCCCGAAAATTCCTGAGGATTCCCAAGGATTCCTGAGGATTCCCACGAATTCTCATGGATTCCCACGAATTCCTGAGGATTCCCCACAAATCCCTCAGGATTCCTTGCGAATTCCTGAAAATTCCCGAGGATTCCCATGAATTCCTGAGGATTCCCCACAAATCCCTCAGGATTCCCACGAATTCCCGAAAATTCCTGAGGACTCCCCACAAATCCTTCAGGATTCCCCGCGAATTCCCGGAAATTCCCGAGGATTCCCATGGATTCCCACGAATTCCTGAGGATTCCCCACAAATTCTCATGGATTCCCCACAAATCCCTCAGGATTCACAAATTCTCATGGATTCCCCACAAATCCCTCAGGATTCCCCGCGAATTCCCAAAAATTCCCGAGGATTCCCAAGGATTCCTGAGGATTCCCACGAATTCCCATGGATTCCCACAAATTCCTGAGGAATCCCCACAAATCCCTCAGGATTCCTTGCGAATTCCTGAAAATTCCCGAGGATTCCCACGAATTCCCAAGGACTCCCCACAAATCCCTCAGGATTCCCGCGAATTCCCGAAAATTCCTGAGGACTCCCCACAAATCCCTCAGGATTCCCGCGAATTCCCGAAAATTCCTCAGGATTCCCACAAATCCTTCAGGATTCCCCGCGAATTCCCGGAAATTCCCGAGGATTCCCATGGATTCCCACGAATTCCTGAGGATTCCCCACAAATTCTCATGGATTCCCCACAAATCCCTCAGGATTCCCCGCGAATTCCCGGAAATTCCCGAGGATTCCCATGGATTCCTGAGGATTCCCCACCAATCCCTCAGGATTCCCCGTGAATTCCCCAAAATTCCCATGGATTCCCACGAATTCCTGAGGACTCCCCACCAATCCCTCAGGATTCCCCGCGAATTCCCGGAAATTCCCGAGGATTCCCACGAATTCTCATGGATTCCCACCAATCCCTCAGGATTCCCCGCGAATTCCCGGCGATTCCCGGCGATTCCCGGGAATTCCGGGCTCCCCAAGGCACTTCACTCCGTGCGGAGGATGATGTGGATCCCGGATTCCGTGAACACGGGGCCGCTCATCTCGCCGGCCCTCAGCGCGAACGAGGCGTCCTCAAACGGCTTCTGCATCTGCCCTGCGGAAAACATTCCCAAAAAAACCCCAAACTTGGGATTTCCCGCCTTTTCCCGAATTAAATAAACCAGGATTGAACGTTGGGGGGGGGTTGATTCCCGGGATTTGGATCCCAGTTGGAATTTTGGGGGATTTGGGGGTTTTTTTTTGGGATGAACCCCTTGGAATTGGGGTTTTTCAGGGATAAATCCACTGGGATTCATGGATTTGGGGATTTTTGGGATGAATCCCTGGGATTTGGGGATTTTTTGGGATGAATCCCTGGGATTCATGGATTTGGGGATTTTTGGGATGAATCCCAGGGAATTGGGGATTTTTTGGGATGAATCCCTGGGAATTGTGGATTTTTGTGAATAAATCCCAGGATTTTGGGGATTTTTTGGGATGAATCCCTGGGATTTGGGGATTTTTTGGGATGAATCCCTGGGATTTGGGGATTTTTTGGGATGAATCCCTGAGATTTGGGGTTTTTTGGGATGAATCCCTGAGATTTGGGGTTTTTTGGGATGAATCCCTGGGAATTGGGGATTTTTGTGAATAAATCCCAGGAATTTGGGGATTTTTTGGGATGAATCCCTGGGATTTGGGGATTTTTTGGGATGAATCCCAGGGATTTGGGGATTTTTTGGGATGACTCCCTGGGAATTGGGGATTTTTTGGGATGAATCCCTGGGAATTGTGGATTTTTGTGAATAAATCCCAGGAATTTGGGGATTTTTTGGGATGAATCCCTGAGATTTGGGGTTTTTTGGGATGAATCCCTGGGAATTGGGGATTTTTGTGAATAAATCCCAGGAATTTGGGGATTTTTTGGGATGAATCCCTGGGATTTGGGGATTTTTTGGGATGAATCCCAGGGATTTGGGGATTTTTTGGGATGACTCCCTGGGAATTGGGGATTTTTTGGGATGAATCCCTGGGAATTGTGGATTTTTGTGAATAAATCCCAGCATTTTGGGGATTTTTTGGGATGAATCCCTGGGAATTGGGGATTTTTGTGAATAAATCCCAGGAATTTGGGGATTTTTTGGGATGAATCCCAGGGATTTGGGGTTTTTTGGGATGAATCCCTGAGATTTGGGGTTTTTTGGGATGAATCCCTGGGATTTGGGGATTTTTTGGGATGAATCCCTGGGAATTGGGGATTTTTTGGGATGAATCCCTGGAATTTGGGGATTTTTTTGGGATGAATCCCTGAGATTTGGGGATTTTTTGGGATGAATCCCAGGGATTTGGGATTTTTTGGGATGAATCCCTGAGATTTGGGGATTTTTTGGGATGAATCCCAGGGATTTGGGGTTTTTTGGGATGAATCCCTGAGATTTGGGGATTTTTTGGGATGAATCCCTGAAATTTGGGGATTTTTTGGGATGAATCCCTGAAATTTGGGGATTTTTTGGGATGAATCCCTGGGATTTGGGGATTTTTTGGGATGAATCCCAGGGATTTGGGGATTTTTGGGATGAATCCCAGGGATTTGGGGATTTTTTGGGATGAATCCCTGGGAATTGTGGATTTTTGTGAATAAATCCCAGGAATTTGGGGATTTTTTGGGATGAATCCCAGGGATTTGGGGATTTTTTGGGATGAATCCCTGGGATTTGGGGATTTTTTGGGATGAATCCCTCACCTCTCCCGAAAGCTCCCAGGTCCCCTCCGGCCTTGGCCGAGCTGCAGTCGCTGAACTGCGAAGCCAAAGACTCAAAATCCTCCTCTCCCGATTTTATCTTCTGGATGTAACCTGGAAAAATCCGGGAAAAATTCCCGACTCAGGGATCCAAACCGCTCCAGAAATTCCCTGGATGCTGCAAATCCCACGGGAAAGGAGAAAGAGCCCTGAAATATCCCCAAAAACCACCCCAAAAACAGCATTCCTGTGTTTTTTTCCCAAAGAAAATCACAATTCCCACTTTTTTTCACCACTCCAAACCACCATTCCCAAATTTTTTTAAAAAAAACATAATTCCCACCTTTTTTTTTCCCAAAAAATCGCCATTCCCAAAGGTTTTTTTTCCCCAAAAAAGCCAATTCAGGGAGCCTTTATCCCCCCTAAATGGGGAAATTTGGGAAAAGAACCTTCCAGGGAAGGAATTTTGGGAAATCCTGGAATTTGGGGCTGAATCCCTTGGAATTCCTGGAATTAATTCCCGGAATTCCGACTTTAAAGAACCTCCAGCTCGTATAGTCGTTAATTAATTAAATGGGAGAGAAATATCCGGATAAAACGGGATTAAACCAACGCCCCAACAATTCCAAACCCCTCAGAATTCCCAAAATTCCCGGAATTCCCAGGATTTAACCCCTGACTTGCCGTGGAGGAGCTCCAAACACACCAACATTCCCCATGGATATGAATCAATAATTAAAAATTATCCACAAGCACAAAATCCCAACAAAAAGCCCCCATCCCGGTGATCCCAAACCCTTGGAATTCCTGGAATTCCCACTCCCAGAATTCCTGGGATCTTTGGGATCCCCGTTTGTCGTGGAGGAGCTGCAGAGCACACAAAGATTCCCCGTGGATACGGATCAATAATTACAAATATCCATGAACATCCATCAAAAACCCGACAGAACCGCGCATCCCGAATCCCAAAATTCCCAAAATTCCCGGAATTCCCGGGATTTAACCCCTGACTTGCCGTTGACGAGCTGCAGAACACACCAGCATCACCCATTGACACCATAAATCACAAATAAACACAAACACACCCCAAAAACCCGACAGAACTGTGCATCCCGGAATCCCAAAATTCCCAAAATTCCCGGAATTCCCGGGATTTAACCCCTGACTTGCCGTGGAGGAGCTCCAAACACACCAACATCACCCAACGATGTGTTGATACCGATCAATCAATCAATAATATCCACGAACATCCATCAAAAACCCGACAGAACCGCGCACCCCGAATCCCAAAATTCCCAAAATTCCCGGAATTCCCGGGATTTAACCCCTGACTTGCCGTTGACCAGCTGCAGAACACACCAACATCACCCCTTGACACCATAAATCACAAATAAACACAAACACACCCCAAAAACCCGACAGAACCGCGCATCCCGAATCCCAAAATTCCCAAAATTCCCGGGATTTAACCCCTGACTTGCCGTTGACGAGCTGCAGAACACACCAACATCACCCAACGATGTGTTGATACCGATCAATCAATCAATAATATCCATGAACATCCATCAAAAACCCGACAGAACCGCGCACCCCGGATCCCAAAATTCCCAAAATTCCCAAAATTCCCGGGATTTAACCCCTGACTTGCCGTTGACGAGCTGCAGAACACACCAGCATCACCCATTGACACCATAAATCACAAATAAACACAAACACACCCCAAAAACCCGACAGAACCGCGCATCCCCGAATCCCAAAATTCCCAAGATTCCCGGGATTCCCGGGATTTAACCCCTGACTTGCCGTTGACCAGCTGCAGCGCCTCCTCCTTGGAGCGGGTGATGCGCTCCTGCCTCCAGCTGGACGGGCGCCGCGACTGCCGGTGCTTCACCAGGAGGTGAGAGCAGCGCACCCGGCCCGGCTCCGCCCGCGAGCCCCCGCTCGGCCGCTCCCATTGGCTGGCGTTCGTCAGGTGGTTGAAGTAGTACACGCGGCCTGGGGGGTTATTGATTAATTATCGGTTATTGATCGGTGATTGGCAGCGAAAAAAATGGTTATTAGCACCAAAAAACAACGGAAAAGTATCCAAATTGATGCCATTGGTTCGTGTTTGTCAGATGGCTGAAGTGGTACACGCGACCTGGGGGGTTATTGATTAATTATCGGTTATTGATCGGTGATTGGCAGCGAAAAAAATGGTTATTGGCACCAAAAAACAACGGAAAAGCACCCAAATTCACGCCATTGGTTCGTGTTTGTCAGGTGGTTGAAGTGGTACACGCAGCCTAGGAAGTATTGATCGGTTATTGATCGCTTATTGGTTGGTGATTGGATTGATCGCTTATTGGTTGGTGATTGGTAGCAAAAACCTGGTTATTAGCACCAAAAAACAACAGAAAAGCATCCAAATTCACGCCATTGGTTCGTGTTTGTCAGGTGGTTGAATTAGTACACGCAGCCTAGGAAGTATTGATCAGTTATTGGTTATTGATTGCTTATTGGTTGGTGATTGATAGCAAAAACTTGGTTACTGGCACCAAAAAACAACAGAAAAGCACCCAAATTGACCCCATTGGTTCGTGTTTGTCAGGTGGTTGAAGCGGTACACGCGACCTGGGGGTTATTGGTTAATTATCGGTTATTGATTGGTGATCGGTCAGTGATCAGTAACAAAAAAATGGTTATGGGTAACGGAAACCAATTTAAAAGGCCCAAAATTGACCCCATTGGTTCGTGTTCGTCAGGTGGTTGAAGTGGTACACGTGGCCTGGGGGGTTATTGATTAATTATCAGTTATTGATTGGTTATTGGTATAAAGAAATGGTTATCGGTAATGAAAATCAACTTAAAGGCCCTAAAATTGACCCCACTGGTTTGTGTTTGTCAGGTGGTTGAAGTGGTACATTTATCCTGTAGAGACCCCTCCTCAAATTCCCCTCATGGAGGCGATGACCCCCTGAATTGGGGACCCCTCCTCAAATTCCCCTCACGGAATTGACGATACCCCCAAAATTCCCCTCACGGAGGCTCCCCCCCTTCTCTGAGGCAAAAATCCCCTCAAAACCCCCCTGAATCGAGG